GTTGTCAAAAGTTAGTGCATACAATTTTAAGGAAACTATTTCAAAGCTTTGCTGTCAACTTCCTTCTCTATATACGGTGCCACAGGGATTTACCCACCTACAGGAGAGATTGGTCTGCTAGCACAGGGTTTCTTTTAGACGAGAGAAGTAATTCTCCTTCCTCTGCTCTGATTCTTCCTTGGGGGTCCCTGTCCAAGGAGTCAAGTGGTTCTGTTGAGTCTCTTGGCCCTTGCTTTCTACTGTGACTCAGATTGGCCAAAATAGTTGCAGCTGCCTTTGGGAGCCTAGTCACAGACCTGGTCCTTGACATATGAGTCTAAATAAAGTCCAGGTGGCCCTGACAGGGAGTTCCTCCTGGTGGTCCACAGCATTCTACTTGGTAGCTTTTTCTATCAAGACTGCCATTCTAGCACCAGGCTTAAAACAAGCTTGGCAGGGGGGAGCTGCTATCAATCGTAGTGCCAAGATGGGTTGCCAGTTTATTCTTAAGTAAGGGATTCATAGTATTGGGGTAGGGAACATTATTTCACCTTTGACAAAACACCTCCTCTCCAGAGGCTGACCCCATGCCTAGACTGCACTCTCTCATCAGCTCTTTCCCCCACCCCCACCTCCCCAGAACTCCTCCTCTGAGGCTCAGTTCAAATGCTATCGCCTATATGATGCCATTTCTGACCACCCTATTCCTCTTGCCCCAGAAATGACCTTGTTTCCACTGTGTACATATTTTGTACTTAGGGTATAGGTTGTGTTCAGGGATCCTCTGGTGTGAAGGCTGAGAAGCCTTTTTCAGGGCTGCTTTCCACCTTTAGTGTCTATTTGATCTACCTAACGCTCATTAGTGGCTCCAATAAGCTGTAGTGTGCATAGCAGCCCCAACCTGGTAAACCTTTTTTGACACTTAGACCAAACCAAATTGAGGGTAACTGAGAGATCACAAACCCATTAGTGAGTTGGGGGGGGTGTCTACCCCAAGCATGTGAAGACTTCCCCTGGTGGAATGGGTGGATGAGAACAATTTGTTTCAATAGCCGTGAAGGTGGCTGAAAGCAGGCACTGTGGAGCAATCAGATCTTGGTTAGACCTTGAAGACACCAAGGTAATCCACTGCATCCTGAGCCATCACCAGTCATCTTGACTCTGTCCTGCCACTGGACTGTGATGACTCTGCTAGAGAGAGTGAGTCCAACAACTTCATGCAGTTCTGCCTCACTTAAATCCAATTCATACACAAGTCAAAAGATATCTCCTATACCATTTTACCATTTTTACCTATCTCAGAGTCCTGTAGTGACAAGCAAGTGATGAAGCAGAAGATGCAGATATACTGGGAGCTATAGTCATAACCCTGCACACAGGTGGTCCAGGCCATAGGGTCATCTTCTCACTGGAAGCAGCAGTGGGATTTGGCAACCCTCTGGGTGTCTAAGCAGTTGAGCAGTCTCTCTCTCTCTCTCTCTCTCTCTCTCTCTCTCTCTCTTTTTTTTGCAATTGAGGTTAAGTGACTTGCCCAGGGTCACACAGCTTGACACAGTAAGTGTAAAGTGTTTGGTCTGAGGCTGGACTTGAACTCAGGTCCTCCTGACTACAGGGCCGGTGCTCTATCCACTGCATCACCTAGCTGCTCCTTGAGCAGTCTTTTAAAGACTGTGCTGCTCACCTCCTGGTGTGAGGAAGGCTCTAGAAAAAATGCCCCCAAAATTTCCGCTTTATCCAACCCTGGCCTATTTAACACAGCAGATGAGGATCCCACCATGTGGTTGAAACACAAAAAAATGTGCAAAAACTTCTAGAAAGATGTTTCCACTCACCATCAATACATGGAACGTGTGCACACTTATGAACAACATGAAATCCAGTAGATTTGAAAGACGAACAGCTCTTGCTGTGAGAGAACTCAGCAGGTAATGCATCCAAATAGCAGACTTGAGTGAAACAAAGCTGGCAAATGAAGGCCAGTTTACCAAAATCGGAACTGGATACATGCTTTTCTGGACTGATCACAGTAAAGGGGAGTGCCTTGAAGCTGGAGTAGGTTTTACAATCAAAACTAATCTAGTCAACAAGCTTGTATGCCTATCAAAAGGAATGATTACAATGTGATTGCCATTTAAAGGAAAGCACCACACTACCATCATCAGTGCCTATGCTTCCACCATGATGAACCTTGATGAGGTCAAAGAAAAATTTTATGAAGATCTGGAGACTTTCATCATCAATGTGCCAAGGATAAGCTTATAATTCTAGGTAACTTTAATACTAGACTAGACATAGACTACCAGACATGGTAGGGAGCCCTTGGGAAGAATGAAGTCAGAAACAGTGACAGCAATGGTCACATTACTGAAGATTTGTGCATATTATGACCTTCTTATCACCAACATTATCTTCCATTTATCTAAATTCAATAAAACTTTGTGGATGCATCCTCACAGCAAACATTGGCATTTAGTAGACCAACTCATTTTAAGGAGAAAAGACAGACAGGATGTGAGAGTGACAAAAGTGATGTGTGGCACGGAGTGCTGGACTGATCAGAGACTTATCCTCTCCAAGCTAAATATTTGCCTTCAACAAAAGTGGTGGGCCCAAGGCAAGGCGATTACCAGAAGACTTAATATAAATAGATTAGAGTGCTTCTCTGAGTGGGAACAGTTCATTGATAACTTGGAGGGAAACTTAAGCCAATACATGGTTGGCAACAGTAAAGCAGAAAAGGAATGTGTAGCTTTCAGAGATTTGGTGTATAGCACTGCATTTACTCATCTGGGTCAGAATACTTGCAAACATCAAGATTGGTTTGATGAAAATTATGGGGAAATTCAGAAGCAGCCAAATGAAAAACAAGAACTCCACAGGATTTGCCAGTAGGATATTCTACCCATCTCTAAGAAAGCAGCATTTAACTCCATCAAGAGTAAAGTACAAGCAAAGCTTAGGAAAATGCAGGATTCTTGGCTCAGTAAGAAGGCAGATGAAATTCAATTTCATGCTGATAGTAACAATCCAAAGCACTTTTATGACGCCCTGAAGGCTATTTATGGGCCAAAGACCTATAGTGCATCTCAACTACTCAGTGTGGAGGGAGTCACATTGATTAGTGACAAGGATTCAAACCTGGAGAGATGGGCTGAATGCTTCCGAAGTGTTCTCAATAGACCATCATCAAATACAGGGGGTCCCTCTCTTAGACATTTTTGGCAAAATTCTTGGCAGAGCTCTCCTTAATAGACTGATTCTTCACCTGGAAGATGGTCATCTACCTCAGAGCCACTGTGGCTTTAGAAAGGGCCAAGGAACAGTTGATATGGTGTTTGTTGCCCAACAACTCCAGAGGAAATGCCAAGAACAGAACAGAAGTCTGTATACAACATTCATTGATTTGACCAAGGTCTTTGATACTGTCAGTTGTGAGGGCTTATGGAAAATTATATCAAAATTTGGTTGTCTGGAGAAATTTACCAGTATTCTATGTCAATTTCATGATGGCATGCTTGCCTGGGTTCTGGATAATGGACGATGCTCTTGAGCTTTCCCAGTCACTGATGGAGTGAAGCAGGGCTGCATGCTTGCTCCCATCCTTTTTAGCATGTTTTCAGCAATGTTGTCAGATGCTTTCAATAAGGACGAACATGGTGTCAAGGTCAGCTACTGCACTGTTGGTAAATTATTTAACTCGAAAAGGCTATAAGCCAAGATTAAAGTGGAGGGAGAGTTGGTACGTGATTTTTTTGCTCACAGATGCACTCGGTGCAACCTCTGAAGCTGAGATGCAACAAAGTATGGATCGATTTTCCACTGCTTGTGCTAATTTTGACCTAACAACTAGCACCAAGAAAACAGAGTCTCCACCAGCCAGCACCACACCATTCATACATGGAACCATTGGTTAGAGTAAATGGAGAAGTTTTGAATGCTGTGGATAAGTTCATTTACCTTGGCAGTATACTTTCCAGGGATATACACATTGATAATGAGGTTGATGCATATGTTGCCAGAGCTAGCTTAGTGTTTGGGAGGCTCTGAAGGAAAAGTGTGGGAGAGAAGAGGTATTAGACTGACTACCAAACTGAAGGGCTACAGAGCCATTGTGCTGACTTCATTATTCTATGAATGTGAAACCTGGACAGTATACTAGTGCCATGCCAAGAAACTGAATCGCTTCCATTTGAATTGTCTTAGGAAGATTCTGAAGATCACCTGGCGGGATAAGGAACCTGACACTGAGGTCCTTTCTTGAGCTGAAATGCCAAGCACTCGAACTGTACTGCAGAGAACACAACTCTGATGGGCTGGCCATGTTTTCTGAATGCCAAATATTCACTTGCCTAAAAGACTTTTATGGAAAACTCATGCAAGAAAGACACTCACATGGTAGTCAGAAGAAGTGATACAAGGACACTCTGAAAGGCTCTCTGAAGAACTTTGGAATTGATTATCTGACATGGGAGACACTGGCACAGGACTGCCCAGCATGGAGTGCCCTCATCAGAGAAGGTGCTGTGCTCTATGAGCAAAACAGAATGCAAGTAGCTCAAAAGAAACATGAGATGCACAAATTTAGAGACATCTCCACCCCAAATGTTTATATGGACTATTTGTGCCCGACCTGGGGGAGGGCCTGCCAAGCTTGTATTGGTCTGATCAGGCACAGTCAGACACACTGCAACTTGACTCTAACATAGTGATGTCATTTTGATTTTCTTAGAGAATAAAGAATAGCAACCAACCATTTTGTACATGTGTATATATATATATACATACACATATATACATATATATGTTTGTATGTATATGTTTCCCCTGTTAGAATATTATTTATTTGGGGGCAGAACAGGTTTCAGTTTTGTCCTTCTATCACTCCCCACCACATACCTGGTACATAGTAGGTGCTTAATAAATGCTTGTTGATTGAAGTCAGTGATGCTTTTAAACCAGTTTGTATTTTATTGATCATACCAGCAGCTATATACATTTGAAAAAAAAACAGTGCACACATGTGCAAGAAATATAGTTTATTCAGTCCCCAAAAGATATGTTTGCTTATTTATTATTTCATGTCATTTAATGAGAGGGAGGTGGCATTTCTGCTAGAGAGATGAAGTGAATGGCCAGATAAACTTAGATCCCATGCCTGTCATTGTTCCCCATAGCAAAGAACTGTTACAATCTCTTACCCTTGTCTCTCTGCCCTGAGGCCACCCAAAGTAGCTGGAGGCCATTCAGAGGGCTTCTTGGCTAGGTAGCTCTCAGCCCACAGCTATTAGGTTATTAGGCTACTAGGAAAGATGTTTGCCCCTAAGCTGGAGGCCTGCTGTCACAGCCACATTTCAAACATTTGCTTTCAGCACCCCTCCTAGAGGTCCTATTGATCCACCCACGCCCCCCTACCCAGCTCCTTTATCCTTGAATTATGCTAGAGGCAAGCTTTTGCTCTGTCCTGTCCTCAAACAGACGCCCCTAACAAGAAGCAAGCCCTTGATTCTCTTGGGAGAAACAAGAGGGATTTTTTTGGGGGGGGGTGAGGTATGGGTCAGACTAGACAGCTTCTGAGATTACTTTTGGTTATTTTGATTCTGTGATTAAACTCTAATGCTTGATTTCTTCATACCCAGCATTATCCATGGTAATGGTAAATTGCCTATAAACTTATAGGCAAATTGCCCATAAATACTGGTTTACCTGGATTTCTTTTCTTTGTACGCCAGTCCCTAGGTTATGCTAATGGACACCTATCTCACCTACTTTCCCTCTCTCCTTTCTCCCTCCTTCCATCCTCCACCTCTCAAAGTTCACTCTGTGAAAAACAGGCCTTTGAGGACTTTTCTTTGATCCCCTGAAAGAGAGATGATCCCTCACCCAAAACCACATGAGCATCGTAGTCAGTATCATAGTGGTCGGTATCATAGGCAGTATCATGGGTGGTGGCAGCAGCATTAATGGCCGCCTGTATGTTTCGGGCTGCCCGGAGCCCAGATTTGATTGCTGTATCGATCCAGCCATGGGGCTGGCAAGTGTGCTCACCAGCAAAGTAGATGTTGCCCTCAGACTGGAAGAGTTGTTCTGAATAGTCAACAAACTGGTAAGGGGTGAACTCTGCGAATGCACCTAGGGAGAATGGATCCAGTGACCAGCGTTTCACCACGGATGTCTGACATAGTCTCTGTAGCTCCTCCTTGGGCCTCCGGTGGATAGTTGCCAAGTCACCCAGCACCATGTCCACCACCTTTTCATGTTTAATGCCCAGGAAAAAGGTGGAATCATCACCCACGGTATAGGAGGCCAAAAGGACACCTATGTTGCCAGTGAAATTATGGCTGGGGTAGTAGATAAATCTCGTGGGCAGGTCCGTGATGGATGCCCCACCTTTGATGCCATCCCGTTCCCAGAAGCGTTCCTTGCAGGCCAGGACCACTTTGGTTGCACTGGCATAGTGAATGGAACGGAGGGCATCTTGCTTGGCCTGGGAGAGGGGAGGCTCAAACTGGATAAGGCGTGTGGCCTTGGCTGTTGATGAGATTATGGCGAAGTCACCTGTGATGATGGACTGGCCTGAGTCATGCCTTCCATTCTGGTAGGTAATCTTGATCTGAGACCCGACTGTCTCTACCTTCCTCACTGTGGCCCCCAATAAGACAGTGTTAGGCTTCAAGGTGTGGTATAGGGCATTGGGGAGCTGATCAAAGCCGCCAGTGATTTCATCAAAGCTGTCCCCAGAGGAAAAGGAGAAGAAAGCAAGGTAGTGAGATTCTCAGCTCTCTAGAGAGAAAAAGGATGTAGCCACCTATGGGGTATTACCCAATTTGCCTATCATAGAGCCTAAAATGCTACTATCATCACTATGTTTCTTGGGGTGAAGCATTTCTCTAGGCAGGCTTGACTTTTAAAATGTACATACTTCCAAGGAGGGGAAAATTCGTTAAACTAATTAAGTAGGTCCTCTTTACCTGGGGTCCATGCACTTTATATAAAAACATTTTGATAGCCGTATTTAAATATAATTGATTTCCTTTGCAATCCTATGTCTTTTGTGCACTTAAAAATTGTTCTGAGAAGGGGTCCATAGGCCTCACTAGACTGCCACATGATGTAGAAAAAGTTAAGGACCCTGGAATCAGAGGCTTTCCTGTGACAGGAGAGGAGGTAGTCAGCTCTGGCACTGGCGAGATGGGTGGGGGTGGGGAGAACTGAAAGGAGAACCTTGTTCATTTCCCTGCCCTAATTCTGGGATATTGAAGCAGCAGAAAGAGTACCAACTCTGGAGCCAAAGGCTTACGTTCAAATCCCAGCTCTGCTAACTGCAATCCATGTGACCTTGGGAAGGTTACTTAACCCCTGGGCCCCAATTTCTTCATTTACAAGATTGGCCTCTGAGGTCCCTTCAGTTCTGAATCTTATGAACCTATTATCTCTGACCTCAGAAGTCTTAAAGGGAAGTCAGCGTGGAAAAGCTCTGTGACAATTTTCATATATATATATATATATATGTATATATATGTATATATCATTACCATACTTAAAATGGGCCCACATCACCATCTGCCTGAACTGTGTTAAATTTGTTCCATTCTCTACTCTCTCCGGCTGAGTGGCACAGTGTATAGAGTGCTGAGCCTGGGGTCAGGAAGACTCCTCTTCGTGAGTTCAAGTCCATACTCAGATATGTACTAACTATGTGACCCTGGGTAAGTCACGTAACCCTGTCTGCCTCAGTTTCCTCATCTGTAAAATGAACTGGAGAAGGAAATGGCAAACCACTTCAGTATCTCTGCCAAGAAAACCCCAAATGGGGTCATGAAGAGTCAGGCACAACTGAACAACAACTACTACTACCCTTTCTCTCTGCAGGCCATTTTTCATACCACTGACAGAAGAGATTTTTTTTTTGTGCCTAGATGTGAACATGCCATTCTTCTGTTTATTTCAGGGCTCCCAACTACCAGTGCTTATCTTGGCATTCAAGGCTGGCCACAACCTGGCACCATTTTAATTGTTAGGTCCCCTAACCACACATCAGCCATCTTCTCATAGAAGGGGGAGTGATTGCCCACCATGAAGGAGGCCATCAGGACACACTCCTGGTACTTTCCAGACTTATCTCAGTGCTTTACAGCTTATCTTTTCCCCTTCCTCCTTTACATACTTATTTCATGCTCTAGACAACCAGGACAACTTTCTGCTTTCAAATATACCCTCCTCTTTTCTGCTACAACCTTGCTCTACTGTCCCCATGCCTGGAATTTTCTCCCTCTCTTCCCTTCTCCTACTTATTCCTTGAATTAAAATGCCATGCCACCTCCTCCATGAAGCTCTCCACATTTCCCCCATTCTATAATGATTTCTCCCCCTGGGACCTCCTAGTTGTGCTTTGTTTAAACTTCTCTGATGCCCTTATGCATAATTTTCTATTATTGCAGGTGCCCCCCCTCAAGATCCCTCGGCTCCTTTGAAGGACCTGTACTGGATATGGGGAGAGAGAGAGAGCCTCTTGTTCTCTATGCCTGGGGTTGTTGTGAGAACCAAGTGGGATGATATTTGTAAAGCGCTTAGGGCAGCTCAGGGGCGTAGTAGGCATTTCCAGGCTGGGGAGCTCCTGCCATTGCAGCAATGGTGCCCCACACCTCACTTTTCCACATGGGCTTTATGTTCATGTTCTGCTCACCCAGCTGACTTAGAGAAGATGATGTCATTCCTCAGGGACTCCAAGAGAGATTTGTAGTAGCCTGCATCTTCATTCAAGACATCCCCAATCATCTGGACAGCTCCCCGGCTCAGCTTCCCTTTCTTTACTAGGTATGCCTAGGCAAGGAGCACATTGGGTAGAGGGGATCCCAGGGGTGGGAGAAAGGAGGCACAAGAAGGGAAGGGATGTGGATGCAGGGCAGAACCAGGTGGCAAATTCTCCATCCCTTCCCCCATTTTCCACAACCCTTACCTTGGTGGAGAAGGCATCATATGTAGATAGCACGTGACTGCAGTTGGTAAGTCTCAGTTTTTCTACCACCTACAGGGAAGAGGTGTCATGGGTTATTGTGGGATCAGCCAAGGTACCTGGGGTTTATTGTTGCCATTGACCTGAACACCTCCCCTCTGTACTCTTCTTCCTAAAGAGGAGAGGGCCTGGCAGGGTTGGATGGGAAGAAGAAGGTGGCAGATGGAGGAAATAGTCTGAGGGCCTCAATTAGGGCTAAGGAAGAGGAGAAGGGGTGAGACAGAATTGGACCAGTCCTAGCTATACTTCAGGACAGAGAGTTCAGGTGGTCACAATTCTGGGGCATATCAATTTGCTATATGATCTGAAATTTTAGCAAGGGCCTCCTTCCTTAAGGGCCTTCTGGAAACACATGCCCTTTGGCTTGAGTCACTTATTCTTTGAGAGGGAACTATCACAGGAAAAGGTCAGGAGCTCTGGAGTGGAGATACTGATGAGGCATAGGACAAAAATGCCCCCAGTTACCCAACTGTCTCTCTACCCTATCCTGGAGATGAAGCCTGATGGGAAAACAGGAATAAGCAGAGGCTCCAGAGACCCAACCTAGGTCTGCTTGATCAGACTCAGAGGGCAGCAGACTAAAGATTCCTTAGGGAGCTAGCAACTGATTGGCAAGCTGTGGGGGTTAGGAGGTGGCTAAATGAGTAGTCTTTTGGTCACCTTAGCTATTGCTTTTTTGAAGAGTTCACTGGGCATCTTGCCTGACTCCTCAGGTGTCACATGGTAGCCCAGGATGTCGGGATTGTTCAACACATCTGAGGTCCTATGCCGGCGGCCGTTGATATAAAACCAGGTGTTGTTACTAGACTGGATAAAAGGGTTCAGTTTCAGACCCAGCTTCTCCACGTAGAATCGGACCAGTCTGGAACACAGAAAGAAGAGAACTCCAGTAGGAACACCAGGCCTGGTCACCTCCTGTGGCTCAGCCATGGTAGAGATTTCCCCAGAAAGGAATTCCAAAACTACCACTCCTTCCCTCCACCTACCTCCCAGGGTTGTTGTGAGGATCAAATGAGATAATGTTTGTAAAGTACTTGCTTAGCACAAGCACCTGGAACAAAGCGAGTACTTTATAAATACTTATTCCCTTCTTTAATTGATCATTAGAAATTCTGAGGCCATTCAGAGAAATGAGGCTTCTTGGTTGGAATGAAAACTCATTGTGGTTCTGAATGATTCCTCTTTTCTTCTGCCTGCTTTAAGGAAATGCACCATACACGCATAGCTTTTTTGAGGTGGAAAGGGTCTTAGATATCACCTAGTCCAACCTTCTTCATTGTAAAGAAGAGGAAACTGAGGCCCAGAAAAAAGAAAAGGTTGGCTCAAGGCCACACAACAAGCTAGTGGCAGAACTTTGAATCCATTTCTCCTGACTGTCTGTCCAGAGCTCTTTCCCTATCCCTGGGTTACATATTGACAAATTCACATTTGATTGGAATGGATTCACTGGGTGGGTAGAGTGGGGAAGACAAAAGGAGGCAAAGGGAAGTGGAGTAGGAAGCTGTGATCTCTATTAGTTTACAGTTTGAGCAAAGAGGGAAAATAAAATACTTGGGGTTAGTTATATCAGAGAAGTGGGATCAGAGATCATAGGACAATAACAATAATAATAGGTAGCCATATGGCGCTTTAAGGTTTGCTAAGCATTTTGCAAATATTATCTCTTTGTGTCATAGATTTAAAGCTGGAAGGGATGGAAATCAGAGGCCATTGAGTGCAACCCCTTCATGTTACAGATGAAGAAAACTGAGAAGAACCAGGTTTCCAACTCAGCTCTTCTGATTATAAAACAGAACACCCCTCTCCATTACACTCTGCAGGTAGTAACTCTCCTTGGTCCTGAAAACTTCTAGACTGGATTTGTGCCCAGTGTCTTCCACTAATTTCTTGGGTAAACTTTAGCAAGTCACCTCCCTTCCAGGAATCTCAGTATCCTCACCTATAAAATGAGGGCAGAGTAGGTTGGGCTGAATTAGCTATAAAGTCCTCCCTTCTAGCTCTGATGTTCAAGGATTCCAAGCATAACTCACATTTATGTATCACTTGGCAGTTTACCAAGGATTTTCCCCACAACACTCCTGTGAGATAGGTGGGATATTTTAATTATGGCAGGAAAGGAGGAAACAATCATTCACTAAGGACCTACTATGTGCCAGGCACTGTGCTAAATGTTTTATAAATATTATCTCATCGAATCCTTGCAACTACCCTGGGAGGTAGCTACTATTATTACTATTCCCATTTAAAGTTGAATAAACTGAGACAGAGTAACTTGCCAAGGGTCACACAGGTATTAAGTGTCTGAGGCCAGAGTTGAACAAGAGTCTTCCTGTTGTTTCTAGATCCAAGACTATCTACTGTGCCACCTAGCTGCCTAATGATCAGAATAACATAGCTCAGAGAGGCCAAGTAACTTGTTCAAAGTCACACAGCAAAGTAAAATGGTAAAGTTGGGACTAGAACCCAGTTCTGATTCTTTTTCCCACTACACCAAGCTACTCAGGCGAGTGAGTTTTCCCTTCCTGGTATGGGTTTACAATTGAAATCTCCTTCTGCTGGTTTCTCTACCAGCTTTCTATATCACCACTATCCTGGTGGCTGCCCTCACTTCCTTTCTCTGACCTGTCTTCTCGTTCCTCCTCCTTCTCCCTTCTTTCTCTTCTATTCCTCCTCCTTCCTCCAGGACTTCCAGGTTTTTCTCTGTCCTTCAGATGCCTTGCTATGCTCAAATCACTTCCAAAATCAAATTTAGACCACCTGGTATAGTTTGCCTTCTGGCCAGACCCTGATGGCAACCCTATGCAAGCAGGGAGAGCCTTGGTCTGGGATAAAGGAGATCATGGTATTTTGCAATGTCTCTGCCATTAAATTAGCTGTGGGACTTTGGATATCTTGACATCTCTGAACTTGTCTCCTCCTTCAACAAATAAGTATCATAATCTCTGTTTCACCTGTTTCCCTGGAAACTGGAATTCTGGAAAGTTCATTACTGGGGGCAACTGTCCAAGTTAGACTCTGTCATTTCTGTTAGATTCAGTCCCTTCCCTAGTCCCTTGCCCCAGGTCTCACCTGTGGTTGGCTGGCAACCTCATAGCACCTAGTTCAATGTACCAGTTCTTCTCTGGACTCCAGAATGTTTCCACTCTTCCCCCAATTCTGTGCGTGGCTTCCAAGACTGTCACCTAGGTTCAAGAAGAGTGCCTCATTAAGCCAAGACTTGACTTTGCCCACAGCATACCCTCTTATCCTTCCATTCTCCCTAGCTTGAGGTGAAGGTAAGTCACTCATGACTGAACAATGGTATAGGGAGGGAGGAATTCTGTGTACTGTAGTCCTCTTTGAAAGCACATAAGAGTAGAGAGAGAAAGCCCAGAGTGAGGGGTTATTTCCTTTGGCCCCCATTCCCTTAATGTCAGCATGAACTCATCTAATCAATTATCAAACAAGCATTTATTAAGTGCTTACTATATGTGTTAGTCACTGGGGAGAGAAATACAAAAAAGTGAGACATTCTCTTTCCTTAAGGAATGTACATTCTACTAGAAAGATAGAGCATGGTGAGGTATGGTGCAGGAGAAAGCATTATTCTGGGAATCAAGGATCTAAGGCTCAAGTCCTGATTCTGCACCGATTTAGGCAAATTCTTTTCCTTTTGGGGTCATCAGTTTCCCCATTTTGGAAGGCAGAAAGATCCTGACCTTGCAAGATGAGATTGAAGATGAGAAGATTAACTAAGGAAAGACCTAGACAAACTTTGGTTTGCTAGAGTAGTGTGGAGACCTCAAGGTGGTCGTTGGTTGTGGGGGGAGGGGGTGGTTGGTTTGGGGCAGGGATAGGGAACTTGTGGCCTTCTAAATCCTTAGGTGAGGCCTTCTGACTAATTTTTGGTTCAGTAAAAAGGCCATGGTGAGGGAGGTTGGTTTGGGGCAAGGATTGGGGGAGGTATCAGTGGATGGTGGGGGATGATTTGTGGTGAGAATTAAGGGAGAAACCTTTCCTTATAAGAAGTGGTCCCAGTCTTCATGTCTTTCTACTTACATCTTGCTCCCCTCTGCCTATACAAATCCTACCTACCATCCACCTTCTCCAGGAAGTCTTCCTTGACTACTAAAGCCAAGCCACTGTGCTCATAAGCTTAGAGTTGGAAGGGACCTCAGAGGACATCCAGTCTAACCCCTGCCCAGGCCCTTATTGTCTGATAGTAATTCATATGTGCCCACGAATTTACAGTTTACAAAGCATTTTCAAATCTACTACAGTGAGAGTGTTCAAGGGAGGCAGGGGAGAAAGTTTACCAAAAAAAAAAGGAAGTTGGAGCCTTGTCTGCTTTCTGAGACTATGAGCTCCCTGAAGGTAGAACAGAGGTCTGCTCCTTCGCTTTCTCCCCCAGATCATGCTCCGTGAAGAGAGGGTCTGGGTTTGCTTCTTGCTCTGTTTGCCTCAGACTATTTCCTGAGAGCAGGGCCTGAGTCTCCTCTGATTTTATCTCCTCTCAGACAGGTGGGGATGCTGAGTTTCAGAGAGGTTAAGTGTCTTCCCTAAGGTCACACAGCTAGAGCTGGGAACAAAAACCCAGGTTTTTAAACTCCTTGACACTAGTCCTATGTTGGTTCTCTTCTCTTATGAGCCCTGCCTCCACTGTAGACTGTGTGTGTGGGCTTGCGGATGAGGCAGCAGGATGGCAGGGGTGGGGGAGGTGGAGAGGGGAAGGCAGAGAGCTACAGGCAGAGACAGACAGAGAAACAGAGAGAGAGAAAGAAATAGGGACACAAAAAAGATGAAAAGAGAAGGAGCAAATCTAGGCCCTGATCTGGAGAGAAAATGGAAGAATACAAAGGGCATGCCTTTGGAGAGTGAGGGGAAGATCCTGGTCTTGCCCTCAGAGAGCTTCTAGTTGGGAGGATGGAGCTAGAAAAGGAAGCATCATTGCCCCTGCTCTGCAGCTAGGATTCCAGTCTTTTTTTGGCTGTCATGTCACATTGTTGGAGCTCACTGTTTGAGGGAGCCAGGGACCCATCCTTGGGAGGCTCCCAGTCTGGCCCAGAGTTGGTGGTTAATAAATGTTTGAGGATTGATTGATTGCCTCCTTACCTTGTGTCCAGCATCCTGAAGGGTCTTGGCCGCTATCAATCCAGACATCCCAGCTCCTACCACCAGGACATGCCCCTTAGAGGCAGGGGTCCCAAGCCCCTCCTGGGCAGTTTTCAGAATAGCTTCATACTCAGGGTCCTGGAAGCACTTGGCAAGGAGGTCAGAGTAGCCATGGCAACTAAGAGTGGCCAGAAGGAAGGCCAAGGTAAAGACACCTGTGGACAAAGGGTTCATGTCCTGAAAATGGGGGGATGGAGAAAGAGGGCACTAGCCAGAGCCAGGGCATTCCCTTCCCCAACTTAGCTTGCCCTGGGCTAAGCTTCTCATTCTTTTCATTGAGGTCAAAGTGAAATGGAAATAATTCTTGACTTTGAGCCAAGATTGGATTGGAATACTGCCTTTAAACCTCAGTTTCTCCATCTATAGAATGGGAATTACAATAACTGAAATTGATATAGAGCTTTAAGGTTTGCAAATCCTTTTATATGTTATTGAATTTGATCCTCACAACAATCTTGTGAGGTATGAGCTATTATTATCTCCATTTTACAGAAGAGCAAACTGGAGCTAAGAGAAGCTAAGTGCTTGGTCCAGAGTCACACAGCCAATAAGTGCCTAAGATAGGATTTGAACTCAGGTGTCCATGATTCTGAATCCTGCCCTCAGCATTACCCTACCCAGCTGTCTTAGTGCGCTAACGCTTTGGGGACTCCCTGTGTAGTGCCTTAAAGTTTATAAAGTGTTTCCTCATTTCAGACTCACAGCAACCCTGTGAAATAGGAACTGTTATTATCCCCATTTTAAAGATGAGGAAAACAAAGCTTAGAACAGTCAAGTGACTTGCTCAGGGTTCACATAGCTCATACATGTCAAGGAGAGGATTTGAACCCATCTCTCTGACTCTTGGACCTAAACTCTATCCACTGCCTCACAAGGCTTAATCCCTACTTCACAGGACTATTATGAGGACCAGATCATTGAATATCAGTGTCAAGTATGATAATTAATTCAAGTCAACAAAGCCTATCATAAGTCCAGAGCATCCTTATCCAAATGCTGTCTACTTCTGCCATGTCCCTGGGGCCCTTTTATGATTGTGTCTATACGTGTATGATTGCGAGTATGCATCTGGATGTATTACGGTAAGTGTCCCACAGAGAGAGACACACCCATTCATGACACACCCAGTTCAAGTCACAGAGACTTATATGAATGGAAATACAGATCAATTTTGGTAGACATCCACTCAGACACACAAGGAGACAGACATGCAGAGATATACTTATATACTCATACATGTGGAGACACACGGAAACCTCCCATATAAACAGATACACAGACACACCTCCATACAACTATCTCCACATATACTCATAGACATTTTTACACAGTCCCAGGCGCAGAAACACACAAACAGCAGCCCAGATACCAACTTAGAAGTTCAAATAGGAAAAAATAAGTGTACAAACATTATATAAAGGCAAACACTTCCTTTTAGGCCCACAAGGGTGCCCTCTTCCTAGGCCCCATCTGACTTGCTTGATTATTCACACTACCTGAATGTGATGGGAATTCCTTCTGCTGAGATAGAGGAACTCCAGGTCCTACTATCTGCCCTACCTGCTTCTATGTCCTCCAGACCCTGGGCACTGCCACCTGATCAACTGATGCAACCTGAGGATCCTGGGGCATTGCCAGCCACTCCAAGGACTTTGGGGTCTTTCTCTGAACCCTGTAGCTGAACTTCTTACCTGTTTTCTATCCCAAACAAAGAGTGACCTCCATGACAGCAAGCATCATCTTGTTTCGTTTTGTTTTGTTATCCTATTTCTATCTAACACAGTGCTTGGCACATAATCAGTGCTTCCTAAATGTATATGAATGAATGAATACATTCATTCATATGCTTATATGAATATACATGTATAATGAATATATATATATATATATATATTCATTCATTTAGACACACTCACGTAGATACCTAGACAGTACAACAGACACATACAGACAAGTAGACATAGGCACAAATACACTCGAAAGACACTGGCAAAGTGGATCCCAGGAGCACAAGGGAATCTAGCTCTCAACAATGATCACAGTCCCTGGACCCCTTCTTACAAAGCTTGGGGTTTCTGGAAGGGGCACCTCTTGGTCCTCACAACTCTCTGATGAAATCAACATACTATTTTTCCTCAGGCTGCTAGACAGCAGCCCAGGCAATATTGTTTTTGCTATTCTCCAGGCATGGCTGGGTTCTGGTCTTGGCTCTGACTTGGGCTCACTGCTCTGTACTCTCTGCCTTGGTTTCCCCAATTCTGAAATGGATGAAGGAATGCAGATCTCTATTGCTACTCCTCTCTGTCCAGTTAATAAGTAACATCTAATAAGTCACGTGCGACTCTTACAAGGTGACAATTAACTAGGGATCCTTAAGTCTAATGCAGAGGGAAACTGCAGCATAGAGATTCCATAATTTCTCCAGGGTTAGCTAGCTTACTTGAGAGGGAGAAAGGAAGGAGACCTGGCTTCCAGTCCTAGGCATTAGAAATAATTTACATTACCAATGTTTCACCAATGTTTCATCTGTTTCGCAGCAGGTGAAACTGAGGCTTGTAGCATTAAAAGGAATGAATTCTTATGGGCTACCCACTGAGGTAGGGGCAGGAAACTGAGGTATAAGGCCTTCTGGTCCAGATAGAGATACCCCAAATCAGGAAACTAACAAAAGGGGGTCTTGCATCTTTGGGGAAATCCAGCCCCAAATTCTTATTAACAGACCTCCAGAAGGCAGAATATCAGAGCTGGAAGAGACCTTAGAGCTTAGAAAGTCTGACTCTTCTTTTATAATTAGGGAAACTGAGGCCCAGAGGGTGGAATAGTCTTGTCCACTATAAGAGTGGGCCAGCAACAGAGCCAGAACTAGATTCCAGGGCTCAGCCCAGGGTTCATTCCATTCTACCACACTATCTTCTTTATCCTCCATATTCTGACCTTATCCCTAAGTTCTATCCCCACAACCTCTACATCTCCCACCAAAAACCACCCTACTCCATCATTTCCTATGACCTTGTCTCTAGCTCCCCTAGTCAGGGACCCCAAGTTCCCTTTCTCATTCCTTGTGGCCCACTTTCCTTGATTCCATTTCTATAGCTCTATCATTATCCCCTTATGACCCTCCAACCCAAATCCATCCCCTAGCCCAAATTTCTATGTCCTCTTGATCCATTCATCCCCTTGGCCCCCGATGTCCTGATCCATCGCCTCATTCCCCTTATTTCTGTCCTCAGCCCCTGGTAGTCTCATTCTTTGCCAATACCCCCTCCCCAGTCACCCATTCTCTGCAATGCCATCTGAACCATCACTCACCCCACATCTCCATGACACCATAGGCATGCTAGGATGTGAGCTTTGCGCTGTTCTTATGGAGATTCAGTCCCACCTCAGCCCTCCCTCCCCTTCCCACTCATCAGTGTCTCAGCCAACCAGCCCTAAGGTCTTGCTCACCAAGGAGCCCCAGAGCTCCATTAGTCCCAGCCAAGCAGCTCCACCCTCTCTCCAGCCCCCAAGGCTCTGCTGATGGGTGTGGTTTCTCCATCTGATTCATTTACATCTCAATCTTCCTCTTCCAGGCCACACTGCACCTAGGAAAGTACCTGACTTCCAGTGGGAAGTGTTTCTCTGTCTTCTTCCTTCTGGGCCCTGGACTGACTGTCCTGTAGAGGACTCCAAGAACCTCTGGGGCATGAAATAGAGCCTATTCCTGGAAGATGCTGAAGTAGCTAAGAGCCCTAGATCCAATGGTCTTGAATAAAGCCAGGGTAAACACCTCAGCCAGGGGCTCTCTGTCCTTACGGATTGTCATTGTTCCCTTTGGCCTAACCTACCTGCCTTACCTGGCATTCATAGCTCTTTCCAGAAAGGTTATCTCTCTCTTTTCCTCTCAGCTGATTTTGGGATCCTTCTCCCAGCACTGTCATAGCCCATATGTTCTTCCTCCATTTTGGGCCAGCTGATGGTAGGCAGGTAAGAGGCTTTTTTCCCCTTCCTCCTTAATCCTAAAGGTTCCCCTGTGGCATTCATGCTTGTAGGTTACCTGGGCATAGGGCCAAAACCCAGCCCTGAGTCAAAGACCAATCCTTCTTTATCTGGGCCCCAAGAGAGACCTGAAGACAGGGAACTAGTGGAGTTCTGAAAAAGGATATGGGCATAGAGATTGGCAGGGAGGAGGAGAAGATCAGGCACATAAGAATGTAGCAGGAAGTGGAGAATGGGCACAGAGGTGGCACAGGGCATACCGTGTAAGCAGGAGGTACAGGAGAAGGCAGATACCAGGTGGGGTAAGAAGAATGATTGATCAACAGTTGTTGGGGTTCAGGGTCTGAGAACTTACACACCATTCCCTATAGGTGATAGGTACCCAGTACTCGTTTGTGGGATGAGTGACTCCATACATGATGTGCCTCTTGTTGCCTCACCCACACCCAAAACAATGAATTTTCCTCCCTACTTAACTTCCTGTAAGACTAGAGTCAGTGATAAGAAGGGGCTTCCTGGGAGGGGTCAGTAATAGCTATTCTCACACTTCCCAGGAGTTGGACAGGTCTAATTGTTAGGAAGTCATTCCTTAGAATCTGCCACCCATGGGTTCAAGTTGGGCTTTCTAGGGCCAGGCAGAACAAAATAATGTCACAGACTTCTTCCATTTGAAATCCCTTGGGATAGGTAAATCAGAGGGTATTTTTGTCTCTTAGAGTAGGGTAGAGAGGCCTGGATTGAAATTTGAATGACATGGGTTCTAGTCCTAACTTTAGAATTTTGGAACTCTGTGAGTAGTGAACAAATCACTTCCCCTTTGTGTAAACTCCTTTATCATAGTGATAATTTCAATCTTTATATTTGTATTCCCAGCACCTGGCACAGTGCCCGGCACACAGTAGCTGTTTAATAAATGATTAATTATCCGTTAGATCAGAGGCCAGTTAATCCAACCTATATCTGAACAAAAATTTCCCCTACAATGTAGCCAACAAGTGGTCATTCAGCCTCTGCTTGTAGAGCTCCAATGACAGGAAATTCACTGTTTCTTCAAGCAGCCCATTCTACTTTGGGATACCTCTAATTGTGAAGGGGGTACATAGTATAGTGGATAGAATGTGGAACTTGGAACCAGGAGGACCTGGATTCAAATCCCACCTTTGACACTTACTAGCTCCATAACTCTGGCCTTGGTCTCCCTGGTGCTTCACTTTCCTCATCTATAAAATGAAGGCTTGGACTGAATGACCCCTTCCTGATATCAAGCCTAAAGTGTGCCTCTTTGACACTTCCACTCATGCCTCTTAGTTTTGTCCTCTGGGGCCAAGCACAACAAGCCCAAACACTCTACCACATAACTTTAAATACTTAGACATAGCTACTAAGTCCATTGTCTCCTCATCTCTTGCCTCCCTAAAATCTTTGCTTCTCCAGGCTAAACATTACCAGCACCTTCAGTTTTTCCTCATATAGAATAATAGCATCTTAAGGTTCACAAAGCACTTTACAAATATTATGTCACTTTATCCTCTAGGATGCTACCATTATCCCCATTTCATAGATGAGGAAACTGAGGCTGAGAAAGGTTAAACAATTTGCCTAGGGTCAATTAAATCATTTTTATCCTCACATTTTGTGATCTGGGAAGGTTTCATTATCTTCATTTCACAGATGAGGAAACAGGCTGAGTGATTTGCCCAAGGTCACATAGCTAATAAGTGTTTGAAGCAAGGTCTTCCTGACTTCAGGTCCAGTGTGTTTCTATTCACCATGTCACCTAGCTGCCTTCACCAGACTCATTGGACAATATCCAGTTTATCAATGCCCTTCCAAAAATGTAGTGTCAAGAACACACTATTCTAGATGCAGTATGACCATCAATCAGCCCGTCAGGAATTACCTCTCTGAGTGCTTAGCCCCTCCTAATATAGCTTGAAGTCATGTTACTCAGTTTGGTTTTGTTTTTTGCCTGTCATATCACATATGAGCTTGTAGCCTGCTAAACTTCCAGATCTTTTTAAAGAAAAGACGTTTCAAACACACCTTCCCCATCTTACACTTGGGAAGTTGATTATTTGAACCAAAATGTAAGAAAACATAAATTTTAGCTTATTAGCCCAAGATCTTTTTGCATCATGACTGTCCTCCAAGGGGTCAACCATCTCCCCAAAATGTCCAGCTTTATACCATCTATGAATGTCATAAAGATGTCATCTGTACTTTTATCTAAATCACTGACTAAAATGTGAAACACTGAGGCACTTTTCTTGAGATCTCCTCCCAAGATGACATTGAACCATTAATGACTACTAGTCTTTAGATCTGCCCATTCAACCAGTTTCAAAACCACCTTACCTGTTCTACTGCCTAGACCACATCACTCCCTTCCCCCCTTCCCTCCTCAAGAATAACCCAAGAGATTTTGTCAACTGTTTGGTTAAAATCTAAGTTACCTCCATCAATTCTTTGATCTACAAGCCTAGTAACTGTTTTCTTTTCTAGATATTCACTGAGCATCCCTTTAATAACACAATCTAGAATTTTTCCAGGAATCAAAGTCAAGCTTACTTCCTTCATCAATAAAATGGAGCTGGGAAAGGGAGGTTGGGCTGGATGATGTCCAAGGTTTCTCATCAGTTTTAACATTCCATGATTCTTTGAAGGACCATAGCTAATCCCTTCAGTCATTGTTTCCATGTTATGGTTTCATATAGGGAAGGAAGGAAACAAGTAGCAAGTGCCTCTTACGTGCCAGGCACTGTGTTAAACAATATCCCGGGAGGTAGGTACTGTTATTATCCCCATTTTACAGCTGAGAAAACTGAGGCAGACAGAGATTGTGATTAGCTCAGCATCACCCAGCTTAGAAGTTTTCAATGTCAGATTTGAATTTAGGTCTTCCTGTGCCACCCAACTTCAAGGGACCTTATATATGGTATATGACCAATGAATATTTGATGAGTTCTAGTACCATTTCCATCCTGATCTCCTTCTTTTCTGTACTCTTGATCTTGTTGTTGTCTTCCCTAACACATGGTGTCCACACTTGATCCTCATATTCTAGACAGAGGATTATTTGAGACAGTGCTCTTCTCACAATGAAGGCAAGGACTGAATTAGGTTTTTTGATTGTTCTGTAACACTATAGACTAACATTGAGCTTACAGTTCATCAGAATATTATTTTTTTTCCCACATGAGCTATTGTCTAGCCACAATTCTTCCATTTTATTCTTGTGCAATTATGTTTTTGAATTCAGTTTCTTTAGGGTTCCATATCTTCCTCTTAAATTCTACTGTGTTGATTTGGACTCATTGTTTTAAGTGATGCTATCTACTATCCTGGATATTTTTGTCATCTGTTATTCAAATTGCTTATTAAACAGTAGAACAAGGGCAGGGACAAAGCCCTGGGAATGCCATTGTAGAATTTCATTTAATTTGACCATCTCTGATAGTGATAATCCTGTATCTCTTTTCCCTTTCTTGATTAAAATCCTTGAGAAAGCCATCTACACTCAGAACCTCTACTTCTATTCCTTTTACTTGCTTCTAAACCTTCTGTGATATATCATCCTACCTGATCATTCAACTGAAACTACTCTCTCTAAAGTTGCTGATGGCCTCATAAATGCCAAATCTAATAGAATAGAAGATGGGATTGGCCAGGAAAGTTCAATTCTTATGAGCATGTGATGCATAGTCTTCCAATGAAACTCCCAAGTGGACTTCAGAGCATGCACAGAGCATGTTTCTGCTTACTATGTGAAGAAAAGCTTTTGAATAACTACTGAGTCAAAAACAGTATTTTTACAAAAAACTCTAACTGGATAATTCCAACTTCCTACTTTCTGGCTACATTGTACTGAGGAACATTGTGAGACTCTGGGTGGGGAAAGAGGCCTCAGGTTTTTATCTTGCCACCCAAATTGCTGACACGTGATCACGTGTATGGTCTGTTCTTTCCTGCTCTTAAGTAGAATACTGGAGATTGAGTGGAGTAGGCTACACCTTGTGAGATGTAATAGGTCAGGAGTTCAGTGAAAGTGGCAGCCATACTCTCAAAAGCATTCGATGGGACCTGGCCTAGCAGTGAATCTGGCCTAGCAGCCAACACACTTTTTTTCTGGAGTTATTTCATCCATCAGTTCAACACTTGGAAGTGAACTTAGAATTACTTAAACTTTGAGCCCAGTCTATTAGGGACCAAGTTGGTATAAGGGAGTGTGTCTCACTTTGGGGAAATGATTTGTACTTCCTGTTCTTGTTATAGGCAAATTAAATGGTACAGTGGCTAGAGCATTGGGCCTGGAGTCAGGAAGACTTAAATTAAAATCCTTCCTCAGAAATTTATTAGCTGTGTAACGCCTGGCAAAGTTGGGCAAGCCACTTAACCTGTCT